CCCCAAAACCCCAAAACCCCAAAACCCCAGAAAGAGTCAAACAACTACGAGGATAAAAACAAAAAAGAGCAATTATATATTTAAATTCTAGTATAAAATTACAAATATAATTATGACAAATATTCATATGCTTTTCACGATTCCTATTTTGGTACTGCTTTTTAACGTGAAATATGTTTCAGCATAGATTCTATGGGATTCGTATCAAAACTGTGTGCAGTTTGAGAGATTATTAGACTGCACTGATTGCAGGGATGCCAAGGATTGGGGAGGAGTGTAATTACCCTATGATGACATTCCCTTGGATGACTATTTCTAAGATTATGAATTAGTTGTGTGCAAAGGACCTGGAATGTGCCCAGATGGCACAGTCAAGAATGTGTGCACTTGGCAGAGATATCTATTCTTCAACTGTTTTGAAGGAAGTCCAGTCACATACAGATGGGAGACTAATTCAATGCCAAATCATTGCTACTTCTCAAAAACTGAACCTCCTCTGGGCTCAGAGACTAAATTTGAGGCATATTCAGTCTCAGGAGCATTCAATGTGCAAGTTAATAACATGTTTGCTTATAACTTAGTTGACCCAGTGTTTTACCATACCAAGTTAGAAACTTAAGATGACTATGATAAACAGCTTTGCAAGAGTAAATGGGCTGAAACAACTCTCATAGACATGAAGACTTAGTATGAAGAGAAAGTTTACTACAGTTTCGAATATCCCATTGCATTTAGTGATTACTCTTGGGACAGCAGTGAGACAACAATGCTCTAGCTTAAATCTTCAGATTAAGTAGTTGGCATGGCCATCAATGGCGTTCTCATCTTTTCTGCCAACTCCATAAATGGCTATGACGCCTTGTTCCCATCATAGCTAATAAATCCCATCACAAGTTAAAGTAACCGGATCACCCCAGATTTTTGCTTAGGCACAGCTGAATCTTATAAAACATATAGATACTACATGTTTTCACCTTGCATATATGATTCAATAGCTAAGACTTATGCCTCAAGTTGTACAAATGATAGATACCCTCTATGCTCCTAGGATGTTAGAAATCATTCTATATACTATGTGAAATCAGAATAAAAGAATATTAATCCAATTGGAATAGCTAAAGATGGGAGAATGATTTATGGGCCCTACAACAGCTATGGTTAATTATGGTAAGCTTGTGATGTTGATATTTGTAATGGTCGCTACTTCTCCAAAGGCTATAATTACGGCTATGTAGCTACAATGTTTCACCCTTACTTTATTAGCTGTTGGGGACCTGGAAACAAAGTCACTTTTGAAGCTAAATGCTCAACTAATGCAAGAAAAAAATGCACTCTTTATACATCAGAAGCTGTTTTGCACTATAGCTTCTGGAGCATAACTCTGGGATTGTCTATCTTAGCTTTACTTTAGTTTACTTATTGAGTCTGAATCAATTATTGATTTTAATAGAAAAATATAAAGCCTTAATTTCTTCAATAGAATATTTTCGAAATATAAAAGTATTTTATTTTGACTCAAGGGGTTTTGGGGTTTTGGGGTTTTGGGG